CGCGGCCAGCCGCCACCTGCTCCGCAAGGTACGGCCCTGCGAGCCGCTCCCGCGCTCAGGCCTCCTCGTCCGCTGCCGATGTCCATCGGCGTCAGGTCGAGGGCGAGTACAGCGCCAGCGCGGAGGATCGCGGCAGCCGCAGCGGCGAGGTGGTGGCGCCCTCCGCCTCCCTCAGCCGCACCAGCTGCAGCAGCCCGCACAAGCGGGGCAAGCGCCACCAGCGTCTGGCAGCGCGCGACCGCAGCCATTGCCATCGCGCCGTCGTGCAAGGTCGCCGTCGCAAGGGCCACGACGCGGGGGGCAGGACAGAGCCGCTTTCTCCTACGAGGAGGAGAGGCACGGCGCGCACCTGCCCGCCCTGGCACCAGGGCTGGCTTGAGCCAGAATGGGTACGGATGTGTGTGTGTGTATGTATGTGTGTGTGGTGTCGCGTATTGTGTGTGTGTGTGTGTCTGTTGTGTGTTGTGTGTGTGGTGTGTATTGTGTGTGTCTGGTGTGTGGTGTGTGGTGTGTGGTGTGTGGTGAGTGGTGAGTGGTGTGTGGTGTGTGTGCGTGTGCGTGTGCGTGTGCGTGTGCGTGTGCGTGTGCGTGTGCGTGTGCGTGTGCGTGTGCGTGTGCGTGTGCGTGTGCGTGTGCGTGTGCGTGTGCGTGTGCGTGTGCGTGTGCGTGTGCGTGTGCGTGTGCGTGTGCGTGTGCGTGTGCGTGTGCGTGTGCGTGTGCGTGTGCGTGTGCGTGTGCGCGTGCGCGTGCGCGTGCGTGCGCGCGTGTGTGTGTGTGTATGTGTGTGAATATGTGTATGTGTGTGTGTGTGTGCGTGCGTGTGCGTGTGCGTGTGCGTGTGCGTGTGCGTGTGCGTGTGCGTGTGCGTGTGCGTGTGCGTGTGCGTGTGTGTGTGTGTGTGTGTGTGTGTGTGTGTGCGTGTGCGTGTGCGTGTGCGTGTGCGTGTGCGTGTGCGAGGGTGTGCGTGTGCGTGTGCGATTGTGTGTGTGTTCTCTGTGTGTGTTGTGTGTTGTGTGTTGTGTGTTGTATTGTGTGTGTTTTGGGCTGCCTTGGGGCGGCCCCGTGGCAGCCGTCGTGGACGGCACCCGGGGCTGGGTCTGACATGCCTGGGGCGGTCGGAGCGTTTTGGGGCACGAGCCTCCGAACAGCCTGTCAGGATCCGAGTCCCTGGTCGGCAGCGTGGCCTTAGGCCCATCTGGGGCCATCTGCGGACAGCCCGTGGACTGGGAGCTCCGTTCCCAGGCGGAGCGTACCCGGAGCTGCTCTCGCACGGGCGGCCGCTATCGATGTATCCACCCTAGGGGCTTCTCAGCATCCGCCCGCTTGGAGACGTGCCCCCGAGGATGCCGCGGAGGATTGGGTGACGATATTGCCCGACCTCAGCATGGATCCATGTCCCGAACTCATCCTCGGGAGCGGGTCTCCAGATCGGTGGAGGTGTACGGCAAGAAGAAACCCTGGCGTGGAACATAACATAGATGATGTTTGGCTCCATCTCTTTCTCCGCCATCTCCCTGAGCAGCCGCAGCGCCACCCTCCACTGCCTGCCTCTTCCGCACGCGCTGATAGCAGCATTGTAGAGGCAGATGGCCGCACCGACCTGCAGGCCCGTCCGGGATGCACCCTGGAGCAGCTCCAGCGCTGCGCCCCACAGCCTCGCCCTCCCTTGGGTTTTGATGGCGTCCACCACGGCAGGGACACAAGGTGGAGCCCTCTGCTGCATCGCATCCATGGGTGACCGTTCCGCCCCATGCACCCCGGGATCATGCGGGGGCAGAGGGGCACTGGAGGAGTTGGTACGGTGCGCAGCGACGGCCAGAAGGGAGCCCGCGACCCCAGGCAAACACCCGAGCGCAATGCACTGCCAAAAAGCTGAGCTGCTCGGAGCCGGCTTGGAGCCGTCTTGGGTGGCATGCTGGGGAGGCAGCGGTTGACAAGTGCGCACAACAACGCCCTTAAAACAGCCCTACAACTTCCCTAGAATAACCGTGTGCACCGCGACAACAACTCGACGAAAACATCATCTGGCTCCCCCATATGCCGCCCCCGTTCCAACCAACCGACCTTCGAGCACCCAAGTACGCCAACATGCTTCGGGACCTATTCGGAAGAAGCTCCGATTTCACGGGTCGAGAGCGAAATGATCGAATGCCACCCCGCTTCCACCTACAGCTCCACATTCACAAAGGTATCAGCTGGCACTGGCCACGATGCAACTTATAGTACTTCTGACTGCGGGAGGTGTAGCGCTACGCTGAGCCAATTGACCAAACATCTCCCACAACATGCTGTGTGACAACGCTGCATGCTGCAAGTTCCTGTCCTCCCCCCGCTCAGCCCTTCAAAATCGCAACGTCGACAAATACGGTGAAGGCACAATTAGAATCTAGAATCTTCCTAATCAACAGCGGCTCCTGCCACTACGTATTGAAACGCTGTGCCCCGAACTGTTAGCAATGTGAATTGCTCGTCGGCCAGCTTCGCCAGCACCAGTGTGCTTCAATAACGTCTAATGCTTGTATCAGCCACTCTCTCTGAAAGCACGATGGCTTTAGCTCTGTGGCCAGATCTGTCTCGCTCCAGCGGTGCTTCCAACCGCTGGCTGGAAGTGTTCGCCGCTATGCGCTTGCCAGCGGAATTGTATCTCACAGTCTCGACGTCGTACCAGCCACGTCTTCAAACGCTCGCCACGTCTTCGATGTCGCACCTGCCGTTGTAGATGCAATGCATGCAAAGATTGATGAGTCACGCGTCGGACTATACCAGGGCCCGTTGCTGGTGACCGCGCGTCCTGCAACATAGACCCCATCCTGGCTAATGTTAATCCGCGGTGGGCGCGCGCATCTCGTGCCACAGCTCCAATCGGGCTACAATTTGGTTTGCCACAGCTCGCTCAACAACGACAGTCCCAGACGCCATTGTCTGCCGCTCTCGCACGCGCAGATCGCAGTACTGTAACACATTACGCTTGGTTCCAGGGTGACTTCCCACAACCGGCGCAACAACCACAACACCTGCTGCCACTGTCCCCCTTCATGGCAAGCGGCAATGGCGGCATTGAAGCATATCGCGTCCGATTCCAGCTGTCCTTCAAAAGCCTCCCTTAGTAGACAGAGCGCATGCTCCCAATGTCGACCCTTCTCGCACGCGCTGAGTGCAGCACTGTAGCTAATGACTGCTGGCACAAGATCGATTCCCAGCATGTGCCTGAGCAACCACACTGCGTGCTGCCACTGTCCTCCCTTCTCGCACGCACTGATTCCTGCGCTGTAGCTGATTATGTTCGGCGTTAATGTTGCTTCTCCACTCTCTCTGAGCAGCCACAGTGCCTGCTGCCATCTGCCGCCTTTTTCGCAAGCGCTGATTCCTGCACTGTAACAGATGATGTCACGCTGCAGTCTTGCTTCCGACAACTCGCTGAGCAAACACAACGCATACTGCCACTGACCTCCTTTCTCACACGCGCTGATGCCAGCATTGTACGAGATGGTGTCTCGCTCCAGCCTGGCCTCGCACAACTTGCTCAACAGCCGCAGTGCCTTCTGCCACTGCCCGCCTTTCTCGCAGGCACTGATGACAGCTCCGTAGCCAGTAACATCTGGATCCAGCAGACTTTCCATCATCTCGCTCCACAGGCACAACGCCTGCTGCCACTGCAAGGCTTTCGCACACGCGCTGACTCCCGAAGTGTAGGCGAGAGCGGAAGGCTCCAGCCCCGTCTCTCGCGACTCTCGGATCAGCCAACATGCGCGCTGCCACTGCCCGCCCTTCTCGCACGCGCTGACGCCTGCGGTATAGCTGACAATATCCGGCTTCAACTTCGCAGTCGGCATTTCTCTCAAAACTGATAAACCCTCCTGCCATCTACCACCATTCGCACACGCACTGATAGCAGCGTTGAAGCTGATGCCTTCTGGTTCAAGCTTCATGTGCTGCAACTCGCCCAATAGCATCAATGATTGCTGCCACTGGCCATCTTTCCCACACGCACTGATGCAGGCGCTGTAACTGATGACGTCAGGCTCCAACCTCGCTTCGCGTGACACGTCCAACAGCCTCAATGCCCGCTGCCACTGGCCACCTTTCTCGCACACGCTCATGCAAGTGTTGTAGATGATGACATTCGGCTCAAGCCCTTCGTCGATACATTGCCCCAGCAACCACAATGCATGCTGCCACTGCCCATCTTTCGCGCACGCGCCGATTCCAGCACTGTAGCTAATGACGTCTGGCTCCAATTTCGACGCGCTCAGCTCGCTCAGCAGCAACAAAGAAAGCTGCCACTGCCCGCCTTTCTCGCACGCGCTAACTCCGGCGTTGTAGCTTACGATGCCTGGTTGCAGCTCGGAGTATTGACACTCCCTTAGGATAGCCAGTGCCTGCTGCCACCTGCTGCCTGTAGCACACGCGCTTATTGCGGCGGAGCGGCTGATAACATCCACGCCCAAGTTCGCCTCAACCAAGTTGTTCAGCAACGACAATGCATGAGACCAATGTTGGCTTCTCCTGCAGGCGGTGGCAACAATAGTGTGTAGCTTCGCGCAATTTTTCGCACGCGACCTCAGAACATCTTGCAACAAATCCACTGCTGCAATCCACTGACGTGTGCTGACACATCTATTGATGCTCAGCGTCAGAGACCCGACGTCCTGTCGGAATTCCAAAGACATCGCCAGCCTGCGCAAGCAGAACCCCGAAGCCTGCGAAGTCGTCGTCGTCATCGCCCCCGTCATCCTCCAAAGTATCCTCCTCCCACCAAGCTCCTCGTCCCCCCCCCCCCCCCCTTGCATCCTTCCCCATCCTCCTCCTGCAAGCCTCTCCCCGGACGCCCCTTCCTGCCTTCTCCCCTCGACCCTCCCCCCTTCCCCCCCTCCGGGAGCCCCGGCCTCCCCTCCCCACCCGCCCCACCTCCTTCCTGCCCCTCCTCGGCCCTCCTCCTCGCCCTGCCTCCGAGCTGCGAGGCCCACGACCGCTCCGCCGGCGCGGTGCGCGGCGCCGGCCTCCGGCAGCGCCCCCAGCGGCTCGTGCGCAGATCCGCTCCAGCGCCTGCCGAGGCAGGAGGGGAGGGTGATATACAGTCATCGGCCTGACCTAAGGAACAATTTATAAGGAACGTAGCCCCTTTTTTTCATCTTCCAGGGGATGATGCAAGAGTGACGAGAGATAATAGATAACACAGCAAGAAACGACGAAGTAACGCATTCAAGCTCAAGGAACGATCCAGCCCCTTTTGAAACGCAAGTGTTCCTTATGCAAGCCGCTCACTGTAGAGGGAGCGACCGGGCGGGGGGTCAGCTCGGGGGGGCAACAGCGAGCTCGAATCGGCGATGCGTCGCCGAACCTCGGGTGCCCGCGGAGAAGAAACAGAAACGCATCGTCGGATGTCAGGGCCGCCGCCTCTGCCTCCTCCTGCAGGGGTGTGCCCCCGACCCTCGAGCACCGATGAGGGAGGTCTTCGGACGGGTATGCCATTTCCTTGGCCTCTGGAAATCTCGGGGGGCTTCCCGGACCCTCCAGGGTCGGAATCTGCACCGTTGCTGCAGGCCTCATCCTCCGGGTGCTCTGGTTCCTCTGGTTCCTACCAAGAGGTGGTCCGCTCAGCAAACCTACCTCTACCCCGACCGGGGATCCAAACTCCACGGCTAACCCAGGGCCCGCCAGGGAAGGAAAGGAAGACCTCGCGCAGGCGAGGCCACAGCGGCATCCTCATCACATTCATCAGCAGCCCGAAGATGGCCGCACAACGGTGCCTTCAATGGTTAGTTTCGTGCAGTCGCATCACCAACACCGCCAACGGCACCGTCATCGTCATCATCGCCATCAATGTCAAAACCATCGTCGTCGTCGTCGACATCCTTCTCATCTGGGATGTGAACAGCCTTGAAAGACAGACTCTGAAGGTGAGCCAGCCTTTCCAGGCGCTCGCCTGGCGCCTCTTGGTCTCAGCCAGGCTCCACAGCCAGTGCCACCTCACAGCTGCAGCTCTGGCGGACAGTCTGCCGATACGCACCCTGATTCTGACACGCCCGAATATACTGCTTGTTGGCAAGGGGGGCTTGGCCGCGGCATCCCTGCCGGCGCTGCCAAGAACTTCCTCAGGATGTGGGCACCGAAGCACAGCGCATTCCGCATCGTACGGCGCACTAGTGCCGAACACGCTGCTTGCATCACATATGCACGTGAACACTGAGAAATCGCGGACACGGCCAGGCAACTGAGAAGCATAGAACTACTTAGCACGGATTAAGACATGTCTCCAACATACTGCACACGTTCATAAGGAATGCGGACTCCAGACTGGCTAATTACTGCGAAGTGCCTTCTGCATGTACTGCCCCCCCCTGAACTTGGGGCACACACCGCAATGTTATGAGCCTTCGGAAGGGTATCAGCAAGACATGCTCAGGAACAGGCAAGCCGACATACGTAGAAGAGACGGAGGAGGCTGTTCGCGGTTTCTGCTTGACAATGAGAGTCAGCGCCAAGGGGCTGGAGGAACGTGCAGGGGCAGGGGGAACGTGCAGGAGGAACGTGCAAGGTGGCACGTGGCACACATCGAAACGGCGCATCACCCTGATCACCGTGATAACGGCGCACTGCTGCCGATGAAAACGGGGAGCGAAGAGCGCCATGAAACGCGAAGACTCAGTTTCTACCTGCACTCTGCGACGCCGCGGCGCCCCCAAGGAATCGGACGATTCTCGGAGGCGGTTGGTACCCGCAGTGCCTGCGTTCACGACTGCGCCTGTGTACAACACGATGCGCGTGCAACCACAGCAACCGTGTGCACCGAAGCGCCAGGCGCCTGCCACCACCGCAGCTCATGCGTTCACCACAAAGCCTGTGTGTACCTCCAGGATCCCGACGGGGGCAAGACTCAAGAAAACCGCGGTAGGTCCGAACCTATCAACTACGTGGGGGGGGGGCTCCCGGGGAGGTCCCCGGGGGGGTCGCCACCCAGATTCGTTTTCTCCCTGGCGGCCCCGACATATCGCACAGCCCCAACAAGAACCCAGAATGCCGAAGATGGCTCCCAAGATTGCCCACAAGAGCCCCGTGCCGCTCAAAGATCGGCCCAACACGGCCAAGATGGCCCCAGGACGATCCAACAAGCCTCCTATACGTCCTGGGAGCTCTCCAGGAACACCCCCACCAAGGCTCCAAGAGGCTCCTCCCCTCCTCCTCCTCTCCCTCCTCCTCCTCCTCCTCCTCCTCCTCCTCCTCATCTGTCCCCCTCCTCTTCCTCCACCTGCTCCTTCTCCTCCTCCTCCTCCTCCTCCTCCTCCTTTCCTCCACCTCATGATCTTTACTCTCCTTTCCCTCCTCATTTTTGTTCCGTCCTCCTCTTCTTCCTGATTCTCCTCTTCCTCCTCCTCATCCTCATCCTCCTCCTGACCTCCTGACCTCTCTCTTCTTCCTATTCCTTGTCCTTCTCTTCATCCTCCTGATTTTCCTCCTCCTCCTCCTCTTTTTCCCTCCTATTTCTCCTCCTCCTACCGCGAATCCAACCGTGGTGACGAGGGCCTCCGAGAAGGGCCCACAAAGAGGGCAAACGAGGCAAGGGTAGCGGCGTCGATGCCTTTTCCTCCCCTGATCTCCCGAGACCCCAGAAAGACGACGCCCCCAAGCGGCGCCGACGCGCCTCGCGGCCGGACACGCACTCCGCCGCGCTGCGGCGCCAGGACTTGTAGCCGCTGGCCCCGCCCCGCCGCGGGCGGAGGCCGAGGGCGCGAGGAGGGCTGCCCCTGCCAGGCGCGCGACGACGGCGGCGGCGACGACGACGACGACGAGGGCGACGACGACGACGACGACGACGACGACGACGACGACGACGACGACGACGAGGGCGACGACAACGACGAGGGCGACGACGACGACAACAAGGACGAGGGCGACGACGACGACGAGGACGCCGACGAGGACGAGGACGAGGACGAGGACGAGGAGGACGACGACGGCGAGGACCACAACGACGACGACGACGAGGAACACGACGCCGCGCCCAAGGGCATACGTAGCGACCTTACGTTGCACCTTCGGTGGGGCCTTCTGTGACCCATCTTGCAAACTATGCGTGTCGAATGCGCGTCGAATCTATGTCGAGCACGTCGAATGCGCGTCGAATCGACGTCGAATCCACGTCGTAACCCTGTCGAATCCAGATCTGGCAAGCGCTGGGTCCGACAGGCAAAGGTCTCCCGAGTATGCAAAACAAGCGACCTGACGCCGCGGCTTACGCGGGCCGCCAGCGTGGCACACCGGGTAAAGAAGAGGGCGATTACGCGCGACCTGCGCGGCAAGCTTGCACACAGGTGTCTGCGCAGTCGAACCAGCCGCTGGCTCTTTCCCCAGCGCGTGTTTTGGAGGAGGGAGAAAAAGTCGGCGGTGGACAGACCTCCCCTTAGTAAACCTCCCTTCGTGGCAAACGGCCTAGGGCCGAAACCGACGGACCCGGACCCGCAGAAATGACGGCCGCGACGCCCTCTCGCGAACCGACAACGGCCAATTCGCTAATCGACGCGTCAGGGTAGGAGGTCTATCAACTTCCGACATTCTCTCGCTGGAAAACCACGCAGGCCCCTTTTGTGTCAGGATTCACTGGGCTCCATGGAAATTCCTGACTGCTCCTGCTATAAGACCTCCGCCGCCCTCGCCGCGGCCTCTGGCAGCATGCTGGCCCGAGTGCGCCTCCTCCCACTGCGCTGAGGTCGTCTACACACAAGAGCTGGTGGCCTGATCGCAAATTTCTCTCGGTTCTGCTGACGACCAGACTCTTCTGGGGGGTACCCCCCGCACGAGCTTCTCTGCCTCGAGCGTCCATCAACCTCCGAAAGAGGGAACAACGTCGCTCGCCACAAGAACGCGAAAGTACTCCGTGGGAAAAGGCCCGCCGCCCGGCCGGATGACGAGCTCGCGCGCCGCCCCCTTCCGCACGGGCTCGCGCCGTGCGCGCGGCCGCACGAGAAGAGCGCCTTCGTCGTGTCGGCGCGCGCCTGTTTGCACTTAGGTCGGGAGTGCCCCCCTACAGGCGGATGGCAGACGAAAATTTGAAAATAGTCAAAACAAGAATAAACATGGTCAGGAATGGAATACTTAAACAAATCGCCCCCGACTAATTTTGGACTATTTCTGCCTTTTCACCCTGTAGAGGGACAGGCCCGACTCAAGTTTACACAGGCCGTGCAGGAAAAGCAGCCGCCAACGGCACACAGAAAGAGGCGGCGAACAAATGGCCGCCTCCATTGTGTAGCGCTGCCAGCCTGCGGCGGTCGCACACCCGTGTTGGCGGGCACCGTGTGCGACCCCTCGCGGGAGCCCTCGGGAGCCTAACGGGGCTGGTGTGCCCGCGTGTGGGCCCCATGGCCCAGCGGAGGTATGCGACCCCGTGTGGGCCATAACCGCCGCTCCAATGCAGAGCCATTGTGACACAAACCAAATGGACTGCGGAAATCGATGCTCGAAAGCAGACGCGCTCTGGCCTAATCAAGAGGCAACATTGCCTGAAACGCATACCCCTCAATGCTTGGATGTATACGTAGACCTGTCGGGCAGCTTGAGCCTACATCACAAGTAACCAAGACATACATCCATCGATGGCCCTTTCTCTCAATGTGCACTTGCCTATGTAACCCCATGCCCCCGTGTGAGATATACGCTGTACGTCTAGTGTGCATGCTCGTGCGTGTGTGTTGTATAGCACGAGCCCGCAACCGTTTCGGCCCTGGATTGCGGCAGGGCCCTTGGGTCAGACAGAGCGCGCTGTGAGAATGAGATTCTCTTTCATAATCAGTGTTGTATTCATTGTCATCAAAGACTTCGTGGGCTTTGATAAGTTCATATTGGTAGCGGAGCCTGTCGATCATTCGGCAGGCTCGTTTGCGCCCTCCATATTCAGTGGACCGCTCGAGATCGACGGCCACTACTCCACAGCAGGCGGCTTCGACCCCAGCTACGACTCAGAATCGACCTCCAGCGAGGTCCAGAGCACAATTACAGCGGCGAGTACGAGCAGCAGTACACCTCCCGCGACAGCGACAGCGACAGCGACCTCTACGCAGCAAAGGCTAGCATCATGGCGAAAGCAGGCGGCAGAAGAACTGATGACCAGCAGGCGATACTACCAGAACGCGGAGTTCCACAGTTCGATGGCACACTGTCGAGGTGGAAGGAGTACGAGAAGCGGGCGACTATGTTCATAGCGAAGCTTACCTTGGAGAAGAAGGAGGGCGAGGCGGCTCTCATGTTATCGGCCGGGCTCACGGGTGAAGCCTGGGATGAAGTCGAGGACCTCACGGCGGACGACCTGATCAAGCCTGGCGCGGCTACAGCGCTGCTCACACGCTTACGGCAGCGATTCAAGATGGACACACGGACGGAGTTGGCAGATGACTTTGAAGAGTATTTCCACAAGTGACGACGTAATCGAGGAGAGACACTGTTCAGCTACATCTCAAGAGTTCGGGCGGCAGAGCGGAAGCTCAAGACGCACGACATCGAGTTGCCATCTAAGGTTCGTGGATGGCTGATCCTACGACGAGGCGGCTGCAGTTCAGACCAGAAGGCAGTCATCATGTCCATCGTGGGCAAGGATATCACACAGGACAAAGTGATCGAGGCGCTGGAGACGACATTCGGACAGGAGAGCACAGTATACGAGCCTAATCATGCACGGAAGCAGTACCACGTGGACGACGAGATAGGAGAGTACTACGAAGAAGATGCATACTATGGCCAAGACGACGAACTAGAGTTCGACGACGGCTACGAGCAGGAGTACAGGGCCGAGGACGGCGACGAGAGCTGGTACGACTGCGAGGAGGCCTACTATCAGCGGGACACTGCGACGATGCAGGACTTCGATGTGTCGGAGTACGACGAAGTTAATTTATGCGGCCTACCACGATGCTCGCAAGCGCTTCAACGACTTGAAGCTTGCACGAGGCTACTACCCGGTAGTGGCGATGGTACCAGGCGCGACGGGATCATCAGCATCGGCAGCACCGAGGCGCCCTCCGAGCAAGGGCGGAGCCAAAGGACGCGGACGCTCTCGAGGAGCTGGTCGGAAGGGCAGCCCAGGACGGAAGGGCTCACCACACTCGGCACCATCTCGCCCATTCAATCCGCACACGAGGCCAAGACCTACGGAGAGGGCGGATGCAGCTACGAGGCCAGCACCATCCAAGGCGACGTGTCTACGATGCGGCGGACTTGGACACTGGGCGAAGGATTGCCCGGAGCCACCGAAGAAGCGGCCCCACGGACAGATGGATCAAGAGATGATGGTTGACGAAGTCTACTGGGACAACCGCAAGACGGCCAGCATCATTCCCGCACAATTGGCGATCCTGGACGGCGGCGCGACTACGCTTGTCAGGTTCGGAGACTATCAAGGAATACCTGACAACATGCCACGCCAGGGGCTACCCGATCGAGACGCTGGAGTTTCACACGTGTCGGAGGCCATTCCGATTCGGCAACGGCAAGGTGGAGCACGCGCTGTGGTGCGGCATCATTCCAGCGAGCTTCAAGAGCAAGACGGGGACCCTGTACATTTACCTCGCTCCAGGGAAGACGCCAATACTCTTCCCGCGGCCCCTACTGAAAAAGTTCGCAGTGCAAGCCGACTTTGCGAATCAGCAGCTGGCGTGGAACGGCGGCAGCTACGAGGAGGCGCGCACGTCTCCGCAAGGCCACTACATGGTGGACCTGCTTGAGAACATGGACGACCAGACGAAGGGCGCGAAGCTAGACTTCGAGTACGAGCCGGTCGACTTCAGGGAGTTCATGGGCGGCGACAGGACCATCAGCGGCCTGGAGCTTCTAGATGAAATCTACAAGGTCGACAACGGCAGCAGCGACGACGGCGAGCAGTGGGAGGTTGCACCGCAGCGGGCGCACTCAGAAGGATGCCCGCAACGAGTCGTGAAGGTCAACTGCTGTGGCGAGTATATGAAGCAGTATCGGTGCCAAAAGCATGCTTCCTGCGGCAACCTTTGCTTCGCAACGACGCCGATCCAGCCAGTCGACCCGAACCTGCCAGAGCCATGCTGGTGCCTGGCGGACGCCTGCAGCGACGTGACGCAGCTCACCGAGCAGGACACGTACAGCAGCGACGATGGCGACAAGAGGCAGGTCACGACCAACTTCATTCAGAAGATCGACTCGGCGATCAAGCACGCGAGCGACCAGTACATGCAGACGATGCGGCGGGCAGCGGCAGAGCGCTGCACTACGCGACGGAAGGTCTGGGAGGTTTATGCAGGCGAAGCGCGGTTATCTCAGAGTCTACGCGACCTCGGAGCGGACGTCGAGACGTTCGGACTACACACGGGCTGGGACTTCGCGAAGGTCGAACACCGAGAGCGGTTCAAGCGCAAGCTACACGAAGAACAGCCAGACGAAATTCATCTCTCCCCGATGTGCGGACCCTGGTCCAACATGCAGGAGCTGAACATGCACCAACACCCAGGTTGGAAGGAGTACCTCATTGAGCTACGCGACTGGCATCACCGGACGCACCTGCAGTTCGTGGCGGACGTCTACCACATCCAGTGTGAGGGCGGACGTCATGCTCATGTGGAGCATCCAGCCACATCGAGGGCCTGGCAGACCAAGGCCTGGTCCAACCTACCGGGCTACATAGCGACCTTCGACCAGTGCATGTACGGCCTCACCCTTCCAGGGAGCGACGATC